TTTTTTACAATGATTATCTTTGATTTTTTTTTCGACCCTAAAAAACTAATCGACAGAAGTTTTTTTTTGTAATTACCGCGTTATCGAGCACGTGTTTGTGAAATTACTTCCGACATCACGTTGCCTTCCGCTATTAGATTAGTATGTTGTAGTTTTTAAACGTAGGACGGATTTTACTGGTTGTAGGACCTCTTGTGAGTCCGCGCGCGTAGGTACCACCGCCCTGCTTATTTCTGCCGTGAAGCAGTAATGCATTTCGGTTTGAAGGGTGGGCAGCCGTTGTAACTATACTTGAGACCTTAGAACTTATATCTCAAGGTGGGTGGCGCATTTAAGCTGTAGATGTCTATAGGCTCCAGTAACCACTTAACACCAGGTGGGCTGTGAGCTCGCCCACCCATCTTAGCAATAAATCTAAGCAAAAAAAAAGCTCTAAAATATACTCCTCGGAGAGAAAAATCTCCCTTGGTTGGGGAGGGGGTTGAAGAAAATCTGTGCAAGGAAAGTAGTTTAATCTATGCTGGATTCGGATTGAGCAAATATATTTAGCACTCTGCGGTGGGGTTGCCATGATTGCTGGTTTGTTAGTACCACTGGCTCATGTGTGCAATAATAATAATAATAATAATAGTGGTTTGGTCCCTAAAAGCCTCTCAAAACATCTCGAGAGGCTTGGTCTCAACAAAAAGTCGGTGGTGGCCCAAATGCAAAAAGCAGTCTTGCTCGACAATGCCCGTATAGTTCGCCGGTTTCTCTCCCAATAATCCCTAACGCTCCGGCCGATTGTTGCCCACCTCGCCGGAGTGTGTCCTGCCGTCTTCCCAGGCGTGGCAGTGTTTAATACACAATAATAATAGTAGTTCCAAGGGGATTTAAACTAAGCATCCAGTTGCTTATATACCATATTGATAAGAAATATATTACACGTATTGCGAAACACATTACGCTATTTACCTCATTCACGTTTTAAAACACTGCGCACTTTATTAAGCGAAAAAAATACGTTTGATAAATCTATTTTCGGATAACTGAGTCAGTGTGAGCGTCAGATGATCAGAATTAATTTTAATTAATACGGAGGCGTGGTACCTTATTAAAACGTTTTTAATACTATCATCGTGTTAAAGGAGATAGCGTAAATTGAAATATAGAGCGATCATTGCAAATATTTTTTGTATTACATACGAGTTTGTATATTTAAATTAATGTCTGTGAGTGAGTTTTTTCGTGATTTATATTCTTTTTATTTATAAAATGACTGGACGAGCTTACGCCGTTGGTTACCGGATCCCATTGACATCAACACCATAAATACTGCCATTCACCTTGAGACATGAGTTCTATGTCTTAGTTTTTCAATACAACGGCTTCCTCCCCTTTCGAACCGAAACGCATTACTGCTTCACGGCAGAAATAGGCAGAGCGGTGCTGTCTATCGGGACGGGCCCACAAGACACCCTACCATCATCATCATCATCAACAGCCCACAGTCGTCCACTGCTGGACACAGGCCTCTCCTAATCCATACCACTGAGCCCGACGGCTCTCCTCATCCACCTCTAGCCGACCACCGTTCGGAGGTCATCGCATGACCTAGCCAGGGGGCGTCCCACGTTACGCTACCCTACGTTATCCTACCACCAGCTATGTATTCGTGTCTTTAAATGCCGTTGCGCGTTCCTCCTAGCCCCCAAACTGAACGATCTTCTTGGATCTGACCTTTCCATTATGCTTAACTCGGCGAGTTTCAGTTTTATCTTCAACTTCAGTCTTAATTTGGGACTGGTATCGAAACCTTTAATTTTTTTTTTATTGCTTAAATGGATGGACGGTCTCACAGCCCACCTGGTGTTAAGTGGTTACTGGAGCTCATAGACATCCACAACGTAAATGCGCCACCCACCTTGAGATAAAGTTCTAAGTTCTCAGTATAGTTAGAACGGCTGCCCCACCCTTCAAACCGAAACGCATTACTGCTTGCTTCACGGCAGAAATAGGCAGGGTGGTGGTACCCACCCGCGCGGACTCACAAGAGGTCCTACCACCAGTAAGTATCTTGCGAAAAACTACTTACCCTAAAGAGTCTATCTATCCTCTACTTTAAAACTGTGTTCTACATGTTCAATCTTAGGTTAATGAGTTCGTATGACGTCACAATGTATCCAAATTACTGAAACATAATATTGATTAAATATTTATAATTATTACATCATCTCACTTATCTTGATAGAGCTTGAATTTAGGAGTAATGGTGTTTAATTTAATGGAAAGGTTTAACCTCCTTCTTTTTTTAGTTTTTTTATTTCCCTACCTATACTGATAGCCTTGAGAGGCTATTTCAGCTTCTCCTTGACGTTTAGGTGAGCTCACAGGGCTCAAACCGGAGTGTTGCTAACACTGACCTTAACAAGAGCAGTGCTTCGCAGAATCTACCACCGGATTGGAAACGCGACCCACTGAGAAGATCCGGCGAGAAACTCAGTGGGCTGTGTCTGTGGGTTAATTTACTCGTCGAGCCCTTCGTCACAAGCGACGGGTTCGGCGATGACGGTGACCGGTGCTTGAGGTACCTAAAAGCACCGGTAATGGATCGGGAGGATCCGTAATGACGTGTTTAGGGCCCTCCTTCATGATGAACCGGCCTTTGACTAGATTTTGATACTATTCTACTCTATTTTCACTGTTAGCCACGCATCTTTATTTTCATTTCACAATAATATTTACAAAACCTATCATCTTGTAAATACCTTTGTATTTACAAAATGGTATTTGTAGACCAATTAGTTCATTCACCTCCATCTAAGGGTGCATTAAAATGCATAGCGTACATATGACGACTGACGTCAGATCGTTCACAATCGAATGTCTTGTGTATGCATTATTCGGGCGGTAGATTCGGAGAAACTCTCCTCTTGCTAGGGCAGGTGTTAGCAAAGTCTTTCAGCCTGAAAGAATAGCTGGAATAACCCTCCGAGGCTACAAGCGATAAGGAACTACCAGACCTATATTATAAAAATATAAGACGGCACACATTAGTACCACCACCCTGCTTATTTCTGCCGTGAAGCAGTAATGCTTTTCGGTTTGAAGGGTGGGGCAGCCGTTGTAACTATACTTGAGACCTTAGAACTCATATCTCAAGGTGGGTGGCGCATTTACGTTGTAGTCGTCTATGGGCTCCGGTAACCACTTAGCACCAGATGGGCTGTGAGCTCGTCCACCCATCTTAGCAGTAAAAAAAACTTAGCAAATTATTTAATGTTAATTAACCTAAGTCATTCGTCACTATGAAAACTGAATTAACAAAACGTCAGAAATCATTAACGCTAGATTAAACCGTAAAAGTAATCTTAATTATGTATAAATGTAAGACACGGAAAACCGAAGAAGATATTAGATGTTACGTACCTAATAAGAGTCGGCTTACTTGTTCTATATTATTTACCAAAGCTAATAGCATTGTTAGGTCATATTTGTGGTTAGTAACATTCGTAAATATAGATTGGTATATAGCCAGCGCAAAACAATTATTCCACATCGCACAAAATGAGCTGAGTAATCCAAATCAGTGGCAAACATCTGGCAACCGAAAAGGCGCCAATAATGTAAAAAAAAAAAGATATTCTGAAACAGGCCAGTTCTTTAACCTAGTTAGATAAACAAAAAAGAGGTCTAAAGTCTTGATTCTCGGCATATTCGTAGAAACCCCAAGGATACTCGAATCACATTGACCCGATTACCGTAGAGCTAAAAGTGCGTCATAGATGTATAGTAATCGATAATTTAAATAATGCCTATAAGGAAATTCCTGTTAAGGTTAAATCTGCACAATCATATATTACTAAAAATCAAAACCCCGAAGGTACCGCGTACTGCGATCTTAATTTATATTCATTAGAGGGTGACGACCTCGGCCAACTTATACGATACTTCTATAAGGCTTTCCTCTTCGCTGTGTTCTTACTTATGGTTTCGAACGAATTAGTTCGCTCAGTGTGCTTAGTGCGAGTTTTTTAACGTTCTCGATAGCGTAAAAGTTAACTCATATTTGTATGTAGTCGGAACGTTTGTATATGTTTGCCGCCAGAGGCGCTGTTTCAACTGAGTTAACTTTTACGTTATAGAGAACGTTAAAAAACTCGCAATAAACACACAGCACACGTCTCGCTCAGATACCGTTGGTTTTTGTGAAAAATATCAGCACAAATCACGCGGCTGCACTAGGCTATGTCAGGCAAACATTAAGGGACTGCTGATCAATAGCCTTTGCAGTAGGCACTTGGAAGGAGAAAAAAAATATATATATAATGGTATAAAATGTAAATAATGATAGTTATGTGTTAGATTTTTTTAAGTTACTAACATAGATTATAAGTAATTATTACTAACAAAATGTTATGGTTTAAAAAAAAAAAAACTGAAATAAATTATTAATAATTATAATAATAATTAACAAAGATTTACATCATACATTTACGTTGGCTGACAGTGGCGTATGATAACAGGAAAGTGTCACACATAAAAAAAACTTTTAGGGCTTAATTTCGATTTTTTTTAATGTTATTATTTCAGAAATTACGAATGCTTTAAAACATAATAATAAAACAAAGCGAGATTAAAGTGTAAAAATAAGTAGTCTTATGATCATGATTCGCGGAAATATATTATAAAAACAACATTGAATACGTCTTTCAAACAAGGGCGGATCCAGCTTTGGCGTCAGGAGGGGGTCACATAGTCAAATTTAGTTGCGTTCGTTCCCAAACGTTTGCCATTATAGAAAATTATTATATTATATTAAATTAATTAAATATTGAAGCTATGTAGTTACATAAAATCTGTATGGTGACAAAATATATAAATAAAATCATTATGTTCAATTAGTGGTCCATCTAAGTTATGGACCCAGTTCAGGGGGTGGTCATGACCCCCATGACCCTCCCCCTGGATCCGCCATTGCTTTCAAATCTTAATTGGTTACTAGTGGTAGAGTATGTTACATACTTCCCTGGCTTAGAGGATACAGTGATCAAATAGGCGGTTCACAAAGGGTGGGCCGCTTCATTGCACTGCATAGTGGTTCACCCTTGTGATTGTCTCTAATGCTGAACACCCGGACGCGTAATTTTTGGTGGTGGGGACTGTGTTTGCCGCATCCCCCTTAAATTGGTAAGGTATGCTACGACCCTACACGGATGAGTACCGCTATTATTTGTCGAGATTTAATTATGAGTTATGCTTGTTTAATAAAACGGAAGATGATCCTCCATTTTCATTGTTAAAGTTAAGAATTAATCTCCATATTCGGTATGTGAGAAAGATTTGAACGCAATAGACAACCACAGCATCGCTTTTCCATTCAAAGGCGCATCCTTCCGAGACAGAAATCGGAAAGAAGTTTGAATACAAAGTTATATAAAATCAACATATAAATAATTTGATGAATTGAATGTAGAATTGGACAACTGAATCAAACTGATAACCTAAGATCGCCATCATCAATGCAATCACTGCAATAAGTCAATAAAAATTATAAACATCGCTCTGTGTGTTTAGTGCGAGTTTTTTAACGTTCTCGATTGCGTAAAAGTTAACTGAAATTTGTATCGAGTTGGAACGTTTGCCGCCAGAAACGCTCCATTTATTTAAGTAGGTACATTGCTAAAAAAATGGAGACCTGAATAAAATTTTGCCGCGTAAATTTATACATCTCAGATGCGATATTTTTATCTACATGTCTGAATGTAGCTCAAATATCTTGTTAGAACCAGTTTAATACTTGATCGTTATGTATTTTCCCTTGATCCTACATAATGATAGGTAATATATGTATTTATGTATTTAAGAGAAAAGTGAAGTTTTATTGTATATGGAGGCGAACGAGAAATTGAAAGTCAACACGAAGGTAATCACCATTTGCATACGTCTAAAGGCTGTTTACTCATTGTAAATAAATTATACTGTGCGGTACTACTGACATTCTTCTCACCAAAATCTGAAATAAAACATATTATATTTATTTGAAATATGTTTTAATTATCTGTATATTTTTATATATTACATGCAAAAAATTAACCACAGAAATTTATATAGATACATATGTAGATTTACTTCTTACTGGTGGTGGGACCTCTTGTGAGTCCGCACGGGTGGGTACCACCACCCTGCCTATTTCTGCCGTGAAGCAGTAATGCGTTTCGGTTTGAAGGGTGGGGCAGCCGTTGTAGATGTCTATGGTCTCCAGTAACCACTTAACACCAGGTGGGCTGTGAGCTCGTCCACCAATCTAAGCAATAAAAAAAAGATTTAAACGGAGGTCTTATTTTTTACTACTTCTTACTACTGCTATGCGCCCTCCATGCGGCCAATGATCGAAGGCGCTGGCGGGATATTACAAGGAGCAAAATCCTGTCGACATATAATGGTCACGATCCTCAGCAGTGAGGAAACGACGCGAGGAGGAAGACTACTGCTATGAAAGTTGGAGAAGTACTTTTTGTTCGGTTTGCCAAAACTACACGCTGATAAATCGCCAACTCGAATATCATCACGGAATATCTTATGACCTGATGTCACCGCTTGACTTTAATACTAATTATTATCATTCATTATTGCGTGGTCGCTGTTCACGCATCACCTATAAGATAACGCATCCCTACTTAACTCAATTGAGGTAGGTTCGATTTGGCTTTAGTATTGAAACATTTTGTTGGTGAACTTACAATAAATTCATTTTGGAAATAAGTTAACGATTACGGTACGACATTTTAATTTCAATAGTCAGAAAAGTAATTGGAAAAATGAAAAATCATTAATTGTTGAGCTAGTTTTCACAATACTATTTTGAAGATTAAACCACTTTCTAATGTAAAAAGTGAAAAAAATATATTTGAAAATAGTCTTTTTCGGAAAAACGAGTGAGATATTATAAAAAAAAAAGTTCATGGCTAAAGCTAATACGCATCATATCAGTTATAGGCAAGATACTGAAAATATTAACTGAAATATTAAAAGATCACCACGTCCGTATCGCATGGTTAACAGCCAGAGAGCCAAGCGCCTTTTACGACTTTACAGTTTTTGCTCAAGATTACATCACTAAAACGGAACACCCGTCGCAGGCACGTGCTCGTCCGGTGCGTGCTCTCGAAGTATCTCGCTATCAAACAGATAAATTTACTACAATGAAGTGACATTGGAACGAAGCTGTCATCGAACTTCTTATCGTTATTCGGCAGGTTGTGCTCCACGCGCGCGATAACTCCGCGATATATAAAGAGATGTTAACACTTAATCTTCAGTTCACCGACAATCGTTCGAGATAAATCAGTGATCGTTATAATAACTGACGGTCGAATTATTATTACGTATCGATATTTTCGCTGTTCGAGTGAAAGATGCGTCTTTGGTATTTGGTCGTTGCTGTTTTGGCTTGTCTTCTGCTGTCGTGCGGTGTCGACGGGCGGCCGCGGCGGCCGAAGGGTCATGCTCACAGGCGCTCATCGTTCTGCATGCTGAAACTATGCAGCTACAACCCGAGGAGGACTTGAGCGGTTCTTTGGTAGAACGTTCTAGAAGTGTTTGTTTTTTACACAGCACGAACCAGTGTTGGTGTTATTGAAATAGCCTATTAAGGCTACCACCGCCTGTTGAAAGTATTGTGTTTTTTAAATTAATGTACTTATTTAATTAGTATTTATTGTAAATATCAACGGTATCATGTGTATTTCTTATTCAAGAGGACGTTGCGAACTTGGAGGCTGGACAAGAAGTATGTTAGCCAATGTATATACGTAATATATTGTTGCAATTTTTTTTTATGGCACAGTGAGATCCAGTTAATTCCAGTATAAGACTATAGTTGTAGCTTTAGGACATAAATTTACGGTTTTAGAATTAAACAAAAAAAAAATGTATTGCGAAGTTGTTCCTATAGATGCTGTTCGTCGGTCTAATGTCATATAATTGAACTCTTTTAATTAAAAATCACTATTTATTGTTTATAATAAGATAATGTTTTGTTTAATAAAAAAAATCTTTGTTTTATCATTTACGTTTTATTTTGTGTTTCTTACGATAGAGTGTAATTAATTTTGCGATATCATTAATTTATTTAATAAACTAAAATTTAATTTATAAAATAATTGTGTGCTAAATATTCATTCAAAAAATCATTAAAACTTGTACTTGGTTAAATTATCTACGAGTGTATTTTGATAAAATACACGCTGAATTCACACATCTCGATTTGCGATAAAAAAAAATTATAATGAGTAATCCTGCGTTGATAATCCTTAATGCAATTTATCTCAAGGTGGGTGGCGACATTTATGTTGTACGTATCTATGGGCTCCGGTTACCATTTAACACCAGGTGGGCTGTGAGCTCGTCCACCCATCTAAGCAATAAAAAATACCTACATAAATTGCTTGAATATAATTAATAAGAGTGGCTAAAATGTCTAATGTACAAAAAAAAATTGGTATCTACAAATCCGCCTTACTCATGCAGCCTCTACGAGAGTTGTTTAAAATAACATTACACATGTATGTAACATAATTACATACAACAGCTATTCATTGAAATTTTTTCATTTCCGATCTTGCGGACAGAATGGAAAGCAGTCGACGTCGCCCAAAACACGTCATTTCGGATCCTCCCAATCCGTTAACTGTGCTTTCAAGCACCGGTCATCATTCTCGTAAATTAACCCATAGACACAGCCCGCTGATTTTCTCGCCGGATCTTCTCAGTGGGTCGCGTTTCCGATCCGGTGGTAGATTCTGCGAAGCACGGCTCTTGCTAGGGTTCGTGTTAGCAACGTCGTCAGGCTTGAACCCCGTGAGATCACCTACATGTTAGGGCGAAGCTGAAGTAGTCTCTCAAGGCTATCAGCATAGGTAGGAAAAAAAAAGATTTATTTATTTATTTTAACCCATATATACAATAGTCGATATGTGCGCGTTCCCTGTAGAAACGAAACGACCGGATTGTTTTCGATGAAATTTTCGAAAAATCGTCAGCACGGCCCAGCGGATGATTTGGTGAAGTTTGTCAGTGATCAGATCACAAAGCTAATCAAATATCGGATGTGAGCGGGTTTGTACAGAGCAACACATTAAAACGATACCTTTTAGGACGAGATTTTTCTGCCCCTGGCATTGCTGACGTCCATGAGCGACGGTGACCACTTACCATCAGGTGGGCCGTATGCTCGTCTGCCTACAAAGGCAATAAATAATAATAATAATATTTATACCAGCCTCGGTAATATTCGCGCTCTAGTCACGATCTTCTAGTGCCTTCAATATAAATCGATACTGACGCTACTATCAATCTTATCGATTAGTTAAATTACTCAAATGTTACATCAGATTTTTTTGTACAGTCGTATCTACGTCTGCGACACCGCAATATCGGATGACGTTTTAGTTTTTACAAAACTTATGTTGCGTGCAATACCGTCTTTACCATAAGGGCACACGGGGCCCGTGCCCAGGGCCCCCATTCTCAGGGGGGCCCGAAATACCGACAATTTCTCTCACACGTTTATTCTCAAAACATTTTTGTCGGGCACATTACACTTTTTTCACAAATCAGTAATCAGAAGGTATTTACAAGGCATATACTATGTCTATAATAGAAGATTTTGCTCAACAGAAATCCCGAAAGAAACCGTTATCGAAATCGTAACCAAAAAACTAGCAGCATTCTAATATCATTAATGACATATTATATCATACTGTATTTGATTACCTATAATAAATGGTCTCATACTCAGTAAAAAAATGTTATTATAATTCGCTTTTTTTACTTTTTACTTTCCAAAAGGGCCTCAAATTCTTGTGTGCCCAAGGACCCCAGCCTAGTTTAAGACGTCCCTGGTTACATGCCGTTGCAAACTAAAAAAAAACTGACCACACGTAGACCCACCAAAGGATTTCATTTCTCTACAATATAAACTCCTGAAGGTCCACAATATAAACTCCTGAAGCTACTTACCAAATCCTAAAGTTAAGATAGATCACATACGTTCCATATTAATAAATTAAATACATATAACAACCATCTATGCGACAAAAAAAATAAAAAACTTAAAATAAGTTTTACGCATTAACGGCTTTAATTCGCTTTTATTATTTTAATTTTATTCTTTCTGACGT